GCTGCTTGTTAAAAACCTGTTGATGGCTCACCGAGCTTTGAACCCAACTGAGGTACATCAGTCCCCCTCCTCCCTGCCATTCGTGGGCCCTCGGATTTGTAGCTGTAAGCTGTCACAGAGATGGCAGTCTGTGCCTGAGCAAAACGACATGGGGGAAAGGTTTTTGCTGCATGACTAGTAAGGTGTGGGCTTGTTGCTGTCTGTTTCTGAGTAGGGCTTTTCGTCCTTAGAGTGGGAGATGAGTGCAGTGTGATGGTGATCAGGGAAACCTTCATCAGCAAGGGAAGTTTTCAAACTTCTTTGCTCTTCCTTTATTTGCATATGCTTCATACGGAATAGCCCCAAGCCTGGACTTTATTATCAGTCAACCATTTTAGCAAGATTATGCAAGAGGAGGAGAGCAGATGTCATTTACAAACATACATGAGTTTGGGAAATAAGCTTATTGCTTATTTGACTCATTTAAGGAAAGCCTGTGTTTGAATATGGATGAAGCAGCACAGTTACACATCAGAAGGGGCATTACCTATTCACAGCCTCCCTAAGCCATTGATCTGGTATGCTTTAGCAAATGCAGCGTCCCTTGTAGCAATGCCCCTGCCACATGCTTGAACCCGGCATCCCATGGCGGTGCACGTGGCAGCTGGCTGCGTGGGACCACCTTGCTGCCTGCAGGCACAACAGCCATCGCCCCGGTGCGAGGGCTGCGGCACGTCTGCCGCCATCCTGGCAGCCCGTGCCCCACAGGCATGGCCAGGCCACGGAGTTGGCAGGCAGCGGTTGCCTGGAGCGGGCTGGTAACCCATCTCACGCAGTTTGCATGGCTTTGGTCATCCTCTTGATTCAGCAGCTTCAGCCTTGTCCTGAATAAGGATGCTTTTCTCAACTGGAAGCAGGGACTACAGAGATGAAGTAATTAAATCACACTGTTCATGAAAAGCCCTCACTGTTAATTTACAGTAGTTGTCATAGCTCCCGGAATACAATCACAGAAACAAAGACTGAATTGAGAACAAAAGGAGGGAACTTATTTGAGAAATTTAAATTTTCAACAAACTTCGTAACAATTTCAAGCATGTCTGCTTGTTTCAATTGATTTTAAGAATCCTCTCCAAGATTCTAGGTTCATAAGGAAAAGTTTAGCATTTTCTGATTTTCTGTTACTTCTTTCTTCAGCATGAATAATGAAAGATTTTGTTTTATTTTAGAAGAATCGTCCATCATTGTTTTATTATTTTTCAGGTAGTAATATTGAACTTCTGTTAGCTACTGTACCAATTAATACTGGTATAAATTTTATTTTACTTAATTAGTTTGACCATCTTCTCTTTGCAGGAACCTCATCCTTCTGGAATAAGACCTGAAAGTGGTCCACAAGCGGGTGGAACCACGCTTACCATCACTGGTACAAACCTGGCCACTGGTTCCAGGAAGGATGTTCAAGTTTCAGTCGGTAGCCAGCCTTGCAATGTGTACGTACCCTGTGTAATTAACAATACAGAGCTGTATCCTAACGAAGCACCAACCTTTTCTGGCCTTTAGAAATTACACAAATCCATTGTCTATCTCTTTGTGACTCATCCCATGCAATGGAGCTCTGCACGTAACATTCAGACAGAAACTCTCAGAGACTCCAGCTGGAAGAGGCAGCTGTAAAAACAACCAAAGTAGGAGAACTCAGATATCCAAAAAATCTTCCAGTTTCTGCTTTCTCTGCTTGACTGGCTGCTCTAAACCCACCCATGCTTTTGCTCAGCATCTCCTCAGTGGTTCCATATAAAATCTTAATCTTCTAGTGCCCCTTGTCTTGTTCCTCTCACTTCTTTTTCCTTGTATTAATTGCTGCCCTTCTCTCCCCACCCTGAAAATGAAATGTGCTGACATTGCATTGTTCTTGTGTTTGTACACTATTCCTTTTCATATCCTATATCTTTTTTAAAGATCTTAAGTGATCTGGAGAAAGAGTTGTCTCCTCTCATAAATACTCAGTGCCTAGCAAAACCAGAGCCCTTCTTTTGTTGCTTCTGAGGTACTACCATAAAGAATACAAATAATACCATAATGTTAGTAACTGAAGATGTTTCTTCTTCTCTTTCTTCTCCAATCTAGCACTGAATTTAGAGATGAGATCGTTTGTATTACAGGACCTAATAGCAAGGTTGAAGCTGTTGAAGTCAAAATGGACTATGGGGGCACGACAATTAGTGTACCAGGGCGGTTTTCATACAGTGAGAACCCTACTGTCACCAAGTTCCTGCCAGTAAATAGCTTCAGCAGGTAATTAAATGTTTGTCATAAGTTCATTTACAATTGGGTTAAAATATTTGTAATACATAATAAACCTATTACATACAGAACTGTTCGAAATAAAAACTTCTCTACTCTACCCATGCACACATTTAGATACATAGAGTTTGTGATTTTTCTTAACCACAGCTGATGCTTGAAAGTATTCTGTTTACTTCCAAACTTTAATCCCCACTTCAAAGGTAAATCCTGAAACCAGAAAAGGTAATGAGTTTCTTTTAAATAAAGATGTCTCGAAGAAAGAGATTTGAAGCGTTTCAGCATGATGTCAGGCAACGTGATCTTTACATTACAAATCCTTATCCTGTCTAAAGGAGAGATCGCCATCTGAAAGTGATAGAAAAGATTTCGAACAGTTCTTCTGTTCAGCTTTTAATAAGTAAGCTGGAAAGAGAGGAAAGTTATGGCTTGTCATCTCTTTGTCCGGTGAGGAGAAAAAGTATCTCTTTAGGAAATCTAGATAAGGGTTCAATAAGGCTTTTAAAACGTATGCTGTCTCCTATGGTGGTACTCATTAACACCCCATTTGGTAGCTGCTCCTTCTGGAAAAAAGCTCACCTAGTACTAATTGTGAAACCAAAGAAATGTATGCCACTCTTACATTTGCAGCAAAATGGCAAATCGTCTGTATAAATGTCCTGGTAGCATACCTCTGGTTTTGAGACTCATTCTGTGACCGATACAGGGACAAACTTGTGGCCTTGGCTCATGTTGGTCTCTGCTGTTCCCTAATATTCTGGTCTTTCTGCCTTGTGGAGGACAATTGGCAGAGAGAGATCATGACGTTTTCACTTCCTTTCAGTAAAAAGAAGTGTAAAATCACAACCTTACAAATAGCGCATTAAAAATAAAATTGGCTGTGACTTCTGGAGAAATTGGTACCTGACTCCTTGAATATTGAGTAGTCACTTATGTAAAATAGGATTTGTTTTTAATACTTGCTTTTGATTTTGGTTTGGGTGGTTTTGGGGCCTGAAGGGGTTTTTTGGTAGATCAATAGTGATTTACCCCAGGGAATTTAAGAGACTTCTTTTTTTCCTCTGTATAAACTGAAGCTTACTTTAATGGATTGCTTTGAGGATTGCTATCCCTCTAAATCCATGTTACTTTGATGACTTTAATTCCCACTGGCAACTTGCATGCATTCTTCTTATGCGAATGCATTATTTTTTAAACAATGTGTTGCAAATGAAAGGGAATAAAAAGCCAGGTCCCTACAGACCTGTGGAAAATACACTCTCACCTTTGTTTCTGTGTGTGTGGTAGGTAGAGTGTTTTTAATAAAAACGCTGGAGAAGTAAAGCACACAAAGGTAGGCATCAATGAACAGCCACGAACACTGACAAAGCAATTTGTACTTTCTTAGTCTACTGTTTTAAAATGAGTTTGAAGTTGACATTGCTGCTTTTAATTGCTGCGGTCATCAATAGTTTTAACAGAAGTCTTTTGTGTAGGATATCTAATTGTCATATAGGCATTAGGTAGCTGTTTTCAGTGGAAGCAGTAGCAGCGCAGGATAAAGCAGTCTATAGCTATGGTAGTTTGCCAATGACTTGACTTCTTTTTTAATTCTGCCTTTCAGTGGAGGGAGAAACATTACAGTAACTGGAACCGGGTTTGAGCTCATCCAGACTTTCTCGTTGGTGGTATATGCAGAACGTCCAGAAGCAGGGAAACTGAATCTCAAAAGGGTAATTTTCTTTCTTTCCCCCCAAAGGCATCACACTGGATGCATAACATATAATATGTTAAAAAAATGCATTTAAGTTTGCCCACTGGACTTCACTGGGCTTCGAGTGGAATAAGGTTTGAACAGATTTCTGGGTCTGTGCAGGGTTTCCGTGGAAGAAGAGCCTACTTCTACCATCTTGACTTATATTCACTTATACCTTGCAATCTTCTGCTTTAAAATTATTTTCATTCAGTATGAATAAGGATAGAATAATTAAGCTTTGAGTGGTAAAGTGGATGTATTTCAGAATTTGAAAGTGTTTATTTTTTATCTTTTCCCTTCTTCTCCCCCTGCAACCTTTAGAGATTTGCCTGAAACAGGACCCAAATCCAGACAATGCTGACTGCTCAGCTTTGCACAGTCAATGCCTTTTATTTTCTCACACTTCAGTGAACCAAGTCTTCTTTTCTTTCTCGCTTCATGCATATTCCACCTATAGCATGTTCACAAAAACCTGTGAAAAATAACATTAAAAAAAAAAAGTCCTTCTTGCATCTCACATTAAAAACAACTGACATTACCCATAGTCTCAATTTTCCACTCTTCTAATGAAGATCACAATTTAATGCAATGATTGAGGACTTAAAAGTGATCTTGCAGTAAGAATGTTGTAAGACTTTTTCTAAGGCTGGCTCTCCAATTTAAGACTGTCTTGTGATCCATATAGAGTTGATAATGTGGATGTTTTATATTATATGCATGATTCAACTTTTAGAGTATGTCAAAGCCAGCTGGATTTGGGTCCCTCAGAACCCTATCCTTAAAAATTTTAAGAGGAAAACCACCTACGTTTCTTAGGCCAGAAACTGCAAGATGTAATTATCTTGATAACCTTAACTCTCAGGACAATCTCAAAGTCTGTTTAGCATCCTTGACAGTGTTTATCAACATTTCTTACTGCCATCCTTATGTGTGCTCAGCATCTCTTCAGCACATTAGCTTAAGTCGGCATTACGTACAGCACACATTCTTGGTTAAGACTGGAAACTTCTCTAGTCTTTTGTTTTGCTTCCACTTATATGGCAATATCAGAAATGTGGGGGAGAAGCTATGAAATTGCGTTTCTCAAAGTGAGAAACTGAGGTGGTGACAGAAGAAATGTTGAGGGTTCCTATTAGTGTTGTTGGCTGTGGTTGATGTTACTGAATGACTGAAGGAGTTTCTAGGCTGAAAACATTTGTGTAATTGGGGGTGGAAGACAGGTTAACTGAGTTGCTACCTTGAGCAGTTGCTTGACAATTGGTAAATTTTGTTCCAAAATTTCACTTAGTGATTGTATTGAATTTCAGCGATGTATTTTACAGTGTCAGTAGAAAAGAATCTACCTGAGACACTTAATGGTACAGAAGACAATCTTGATTAAAGCTGCCACGTTAACCTCTTAATCTTAGAGCAATTTAATGATATTAGCCCAGTGTGGTCCAGAGCCGCAGGATTTGGAGGCAATGGAAACTGATCTGTAGCCTAACTTCTTCTGCAGGCAGCTGCTAGAACATAATGAATCAACAATTTATTCCCATCAACAAATTTGTTTCGTTTTCTTTTCAGAAAATACCTCATACTATGTTATTTCTGCTGTATGGAGAGGATATAAATCCAGTGGTTTTATTTCTACAGTCTAAAGTTATCAACAGTTATGTACAGGAATGAGTCAAACTCTAAAATGTGCGTGTTCTTCTTGTCTTGTTTCTTACAGTTTGATGGAAAGCTTGTTACAAGACTCAATGAAACCACGGTGGTTTTTTCTTCCCCGCCAATACTGGAAGACCCAGAAAACTATAACATTACCACAATTATTCTAATGGATCATTATCATTTGGTTGTAAAAAATGAGACCCACTCCTTTGCCTATGTTGCAGACCCAACCTTTGAAAACTTCACAGATGGCATCAAAAAACAAGTCAACAAACTTATTAATGCAAAGGTAAACTTGCCAAGACACGGTGGTTGCTCATTTTGTCCTTGAAGCATGTATGGAATTTTTCCTTCCTTTCTCAAACTCCTGACAGTTGTTTGGCACCATAGCCAAAATGCTTGGTAGAGTCCCTTACCTCTGCTAGATGATGAACATTGTCAGCTCCCCTTTCCTCCCCCCTCCCCTTCTCAGAGACAGTTGCTATCTTTTTAGCCATGCTCTGGGTTTCCCAGAGATGCCCCCTCCTGCTGAGCCTGGCATTTGGAAATGCCCTCTGCCATAGAGCTCCCAAGGACTGGAGGACTGTCCCAAGGACATCTCTTCTCACACCAGGAAAGAAAGGAGAGGAATTGCATAATCCCCAACCCCTCTGCTCTTCTGTACACTGCAGTGCAAATCACATCTGCTGCTAAAAGTTATCCAAATGGAAAGTTCTAACTCAGGACTTCTTGTCTCCCAAGACTTTGCGATGATGACTTAGCCTTGTATTTTCTGTCTAGGGCAGTAACCTGAACAAAGCCATGACCATAGATGAGGCCCAGGCTTTTGTGGGTGATGAGCCTTGCAACATAAAAACACTAACTGAAACGGATTTATATTGTGAGCCACCAGAAGTACAGCCTCAGCCAAAGAAACGACAGAAGAGAGATACCATCAATAACCTTCCTGAATTCATTGTAGGTTACCTTTTCAATAGAATTTAATATCATCTGTAACTGACACTGATACAGTGCTTCTTAATTAAAGTAATTTGTTCTCCAAAGTTGTTGTAGTACCATGAAGAAACTCCTTGGAGTTCTTTCTTCCTCCAGCTTCTGCCTGCTCTATAGAAGACGTCACGTAAAGAGCAGTCCCAAGCTGCCAAATGCCTTCTACCTTCATTACATAGGAATGTAAAATTGTAGCTAGACAGGCTGGGGATTTTTCCTCCTCTGCTAAGCAAAATAAAATTACATCATGGAATAAAGTGCTAGTGACCTAAATTCAGTATAAAATATTCAGAAATGTTTCCTTTGTTTGGCAGTTTGAGCTAGAAATTCACTTAGTGAGAATTGCTAAGAATTTAGAGTGCAACTGAGAAGTGAACCACTGTCCCTTTGCACTTTTTGAGACAAATGTCTGTGCTTATCTAATTAGGTGAAATTTGGACTCCGGGAATGGATCCTTGGGAGGGTGGAATATGATACACGTGTGAGTGACATCCCACTGAATCTTATTTTGCCACTGGTTCTTATTCCTATGATAGCAATCATCGGCTTCTCTATCATCTGTTACAGGTAAGTTCCTTTAATTAGGTGCTTTTACTGTCCTAAAGCTTTCAAGGTACTACCTGGTTGTTTTCAGCTCAGTCTACAGAAATTATCTTCCATCTTTTTTATGAGCTGCAGAGTTAAGGAAGGCAGTTACAGCTGGAAATATGTATGAGCACCAATTTATTCCTCTCACGCACACCAAATTCCTTGTTGTCAGTCAGCCCAATCCATCCTTTATACATAAGCACAACAATTGGTCCCAGGCTGGCCAAGCACACGATTGCAGAGTGAGTTGCACACATACATTCTTGAAATGGCAGCTAAAGTGCCTCTTGTGAAGGAGATAACATATTCTGTATACATATCCATCAGCGTTTATGCTGCCTCAGTCAGCACTGTAGGTCTGAGCTGGACGGATTTGGCTAAGGGGTCATTTTGGCCTTTCCAGCTGAGATAAGTGTTACCCACACACAAATTTCATGATTAAAAGTGAAATTCATGCTTCACAAAGGGCCAGAACAATGTCTGTATTTCACTTAAGACCTACTTAGCTCAGTTTTAAGGTTAGTAATGAGGGCCTCATATTGCCCTCAGGAGGGGGTGGATTTCACTCTTACGGTGCATATCAATATAGCCGAAGCAATGCTGAAGTATGTGCTGTACAGCACTGATGTTCTCGTGGCCCTCCTGCAACCTTCTCAGTTCAGACCCAGATGCACTCCTGGGTGGCTCAGAGCCAGTGCAGGACATGTTGCAAGCAATCTTTGTTCAGTACATACAAATTGAGTTTCTGTACTTAATATGTGATTGAAAGTATTTGTAGCTACTGCTTATTGGATTTTAAATCACTGGCCCAAGTGTGCTCTGAAGCAGCAGGCCCGTGATGGTGCCAGGTTGATTTACACGGAATCAAGACTTGGTCCACCGTTGCTGTTCTCCTCCTCCATTCTCTTTCTGCTGCTAGTGTTTAAAAAGAAATCAAAACCAGGAAAATGTCCTCCAGTCCTTTGGTTTCCCACTCAGAGCTGTTGCAAATTATTTACTTTTGCAGTTTGTAACTGTTTTAAAATCTTACCTCTATTCCATAAAGACGCAAGAGCCAACAAGCAGAACGAGAGTATGAAAAAATTAAATCACAACTTGAAGGCCTGGAGGAGAGTGTCAGAGACCGGTGCAAGAAGGAATTCACAGGTATGACAGATATTTGCACTCCTGTGGGTCCTCTTGAGCAATCAGAAGATGGGCTGGAGCAATAGTGCTAACTTGCTAAAACTGTCTTCTGGGAACAAATAATTAGTAGATCTTAGTAGTCTTGATTACTGACATTGACATACAGCAGATTTTGTTATTATATATGAAAGCCATAAATAAAATAAAACAGGGACCTGAGGTTATTAAAGGAAATGGATAGTTTTAGTCTAAAGGAAGCACAGAGTTAGCAGCTGGGAAATAGAAACTAGTCGAGATTGGAGTTACTTATAGCCATTAGTGTGAGTGGCCATTGATACGGAGGAAAGAATGTTTTATAGTGACTAACCGTGCACTTAGTATTTAGCGCAATGGCTGTATGTGCCAAGTATGCGCATTAAAAACTGTTTTCAGAGCTGCAAAATTTATTTGCAGCAATCAGCATACAAAGGGATAATTTGGCAAGCTCGCAGGAAAGAAATAGCATTTTGCCCTGTTTATCGTGGGAACATCTTAAGCTTGATTTGAGGAGCTAGCTAATTGTTCTGTGTAAATGTAGGGGCATCATCCTAGGGAAAGCAGCAGGAGGTGTGATGGGTCAGCATTTCTACACGTTGAACTACTCGTTGCAACACTTAAATTAGTCATCTGAGTGCAAACATTGCAAATATTGGCCTAAATGATTACCATGAAATGTCACCTCATTATCTGAATTATACTTGCTGTTGGGTCATGTTGAAATAATCTCTGCTAAAAAAAAATCCCACATGTTTTATTTCTAAAGAAAAATAGATTATTTCATATTGACAGTGGCTAAAAAGCAGGATTGAATTAAACAGCAATTTCAGGTTAGAGTTTGAAATTAATTTAAGAAGCTCATGGTATCTCAAGGATTTTGGCCATGCTGGAAGCCTCTCCCAGTCTTGTTTTTCTGGCATTTCTGGGACAGGATGTTCTTTTCTTGTACCAGCTTGCTTTCTCTGGAAAACCAACTCCTTCCAAGTTCTGGACACAAACCAGAGGCAAATGTTCGAATCAAGAACTATTCCCACATGGGCTTCATTTCAAATTGCATTTTGAACTGTGCGAGGATTGATCAAGGTTAACAGCCCTCCCTCTCGCCACCTCTCCCATGGAACTTCATACCCGTTTCTGACAGGAGAAGGTGCCTTTCTCTTGCTGACACTCCTAGTAGGGGCTACAGACTCCTGCTGCCTGTTGGGTTGAAGGTTTCCTCTGCTCCACCAAGCACAAACACTGGGGAAGGAGAATGCACATCCAAGGAGTAATCCAGTTCCTAAACTACATCCACCTTGGCTGACAGTAAAATGAAACACTCAAGTGAAAACATGTTCTGGATCCATGCTGTGAAACTGTAATGTCAACAGCACAAAGTGCAGACAGTCTAAAATACATGATACCAAAGATAGCCAAGGAAAGGGACATCAGGGAGGAAGTACAAATACCACAAAGCTGGAAACCACAAGATGCTTTCTCCCTCAGCTTTGCTGAATGCTATAAAACAAAGAGGTAAATGAATGAATAAGAGCAATAAAATTGCTGAGACAATAGGTCACTATATTAATTAACATAGTATTCTAGTCAATCAGCAATATTGGGTATTTGGAAAGCCTTCAGCTAGAATAGCTGCTGCAAAAGACGATTCCCTAATTGTTGTCCCTTTTAAGAACTTCAGAGCTTTTGAGTCCCACAGAAATGTTTCCATCAATTTCAATGAACCATTTAACCTTCTTCCTTCCTGCCATCCCCTTCCTTCCAATTAAATTTGCATGCTTTACACTTTCTTTCTTTCCTTGATTGCTATGTGTTTTTTAAAATAACTTTTATTACTACCTAGACTCAGAGGGAAGAGAATGTTCATTGGGGAAAAAAAAAAAAACAAAACACAAGAAAACAATATTGCCGTGTCTTTTTTTGGCTCTGTGCTACAATCCTACATTCATATCTATGAACTCAGCCAGACGTCCATTAAGGCCCTTTTTCAGATAGGCAGCAACAAGGAAACCATCTGTGCTGAAGGCAGTTATCCTCATGTCACCATAGGATTAGCTGTGGTCATAGTTAACAGAATAATTGGTAAAAATAGCAAGAGAAAATGTGAGATGAAATAGAGTTTTTGGTGTTGACTTGCTTTTCCTCCATTACAAGGCACCCAAAGAGATTGTGTTGCCTAAAAAAGCTGCAGGCTTTTTTTAAATGAACCTTTAAACTGTATTGCATATTCCAGATCTAATGATAGAGATGGAGGATCATACAAATGATATCAATGAAGCTGGAATTCCAGTACTGGACTACAAAACCTACACGGACAGAGTCTTCTTCTTGCCCTCCAAAGACGGAGAGAAAGATGTGATGATTACGGGGAAGCTGGATATTCCTGAGGCCAGGCGGCAGACTGTGGAGCAGGCTTTGAACCAGTTCTCCAACCTCCTCAATAGCAAATCATTTCTCATTAATGTGAGTACTGAAGTAGATTCGCCTTGTCTCTTAGCTAGGCATACCTGTGTGTGCAAGACAGTAGGTTTGCAAGCAGAACTGAGCCAAAATTATTAAAAATAAGTGATTTTCATACAGTTCTGGTTCCCCAGTAACTGTTGCAGATATGTGGCATCACAGCCAGAGCTTCCTGGTGGGGCGGTGAGGCAAGTTCATATTTCTGTGTCAGGTCAAGTAGCATGGAATTAGTCAACATTGCAGTGGCTGTAGGAAAACAGATATTACCCAATCTAGCATAAAAATTGCTGTTACAAGTTTGGTTTAGCGTTTTAAGAAACATGATTGGAGAATGCTGATTCCATCCTGGTTCATCACGGGCGTCACCTGCAGGCAGCCATCTGCTGGGTCTCTGTCCCAGAGAGGCAGAGGCTCCTCAAGTGGCCTGTTCATCCAGACTGATGAGTGCTCACAGCAGCTCTGAAGAGACTTCTAATTACTCACTCTCAAAAACTGAGGCTGATTGTCAGACACCTAAATATAGATTTAAGCTTCTAACTTTTTCTCTTTTTTTAAATGACGCTCCAGTGCTGAGCTAGTCAGTGGTAGCGTTACAGTTTATGGCAGATGAGAGCGCGTTCCCAGGTTTACTTAGGTTAGTGTCTTTGTAATTTGATGTGAAAGAACTGGGAATTTGGGGGAGAAGGGAGTTGATTTTCTCTTTTAACAGAACACCTTTTTTCATTTAATTAAAGCACTCTCTTTAGGTAAGGCTTCAGTTAAAGTATATAAGCATTCATTCAGTTAGTCCAGTACATTGTGTATGTATCTAAAAACAAATTATAAGCAACGTTTTCTTTTAGTAGCTCTTTCAAACTTCTGAAAATTTTTCCATTCTGTGCTTAGGAGATTAATATTAAAACAATATTGCTTGTCTTCTTAGAGCAGATAAGTGTTGAGGTTCTTCAGAAACCTGTCATCTGATTTGATTTTACATTTGTTTTCTGTTTCAGTTTATTCACACGCTGGAAAACCAAAGGGAGTTCTCTGCTCGAGCTAAAGTGTATTTTGCATCTTTACTGACAGTTGCTTTACATGGAAAACTAGAATACTATACTGACATCATGAGGACACTGTTCTTGGAACTGATGGAGCAGTATGTTGTGGCCAAAAACCCAAAGCTGATGCTAAGAAGGTTTGAATGACTCTCATATTTTCTGTAGTTCTTTGGACTGTATTAAAATGCCAACTATCCGTGAAAGTCAGAAATAGCCTGGCCCAAGCATATTAGGAAGACAAGCTCACCAGGAATAGCTGTGGAAGGCACAGGCAGGACTGCTGGCAACAGATTTCCTTCTTCAAATACTGTAGTGTAGAATCTGCATCAAGATTACTGAAACATCTACCTTACTTCAAAATACAATACTGAACATTTCATTTACTTTTTAATCTATTTTTATTCCAAATGATCTAGCATTTATACCACACATCATCTCCGTAATGAGCACACATAATCAGCTCGCATTGTGCATTCAGTGAGGGCTTGCTCTAGTGTATTTAACCCTGTTGTTATCCCAAATAAATTACAAAAGACCTTGCTCTGTGCATGTTGTAGCTTTGTAATCTGTAGGTTATTTCCCAGTAACTGCACAACTGGGTTAATTTTTTAGCTCTTACAGCTAGACCCAATTTACGATTTTGCATAAAGGATGTGTGCTTTTCAGTAATGAGCTGAAGGTACCCGGGAATGATGAGCAATACAAAGCACTTATCCTAAAGCAAGTACATGCTCTCAAGACTCTGTAGGGCAGTTAAGCATGTAAAAATATTATATTTCAAGCAAGCAATGTTTTTCTTTAAAACTTTGTCATTAAGTACCCTTACCATACTCAGGGTTGGTTTTTTTTTTTTCAGATCTGAAACGGTTGTTGAGAGAATGTTGTCTAACTGGATGTCTATTTGTTTATATCAGTACCTCAAGGTAAGAGTTGAAGTCTGTTGCCTGTGGGGTTGGTTTTTTTTATCAATAATACTTAAACATACTGTATTGAGTATATCTTTGGGTTTTGCTTCGTTTCATTTCATTTCCTTTCCTTCAAACAGGACAATGCTGGGGAGCCTCTTTATAAATTGTTCAAGGCTATCAAACACCAGGTAGAAAAAGGCCCAGTGGATGCTGTACTAAAGAAAGCCAAGTATACACTGAATGACACAGGCTTGCTGGGAGATGATGTAGAGTATACACAGTTGGTAAGCAGAGCATGATTGATATATTATAAAATCATTTTTTCTTTTAAAATTAAGTCCTGTGGCGTTAAGTCTGTACATACTTTTCTGGACTACTGCGATCTGTGTAGAAATTCTGGTCATGGGCAGGGCTGTCGATAGTTTGATGAAAGCAAGTCTCCAAGCAGGAAAACAGAATTATAAAGTATCTTCTCAGCGTTAAATCCAAGTCCTGCCACTGTGGAATCCATTTCAGTAAATCCCTTTCATAATTTTCAAAGTCTGTCTGAACAGTGTTTGGGGTGTTTGGCTCCTTCCCTTTTCCCATCTAAATTAACTGGCAATTGATTTTTGCAGAATTCTTGCACTAACATTATGCTTGAACTTCGGGTTGTCTTTCTCCCTTGTGACTGCTGCTCGTCAGCATATCAAACGTCATTTTAGAGATCGTTTTATTAGTATACCAGGATGAGCTCCTCTACAGTACTGTGAGATGGCTCTGCAATCTCCAAAACACTTAATGAACCTATTTCTGCACTTTCTCCTGTGTGAGTCAAACTCTCCCGAACATGGGCAGCCCAACTAGCATTGAAAGGGGTTTATTTCTACCTGAGGAAATAATTCCCTACAGTGGTGAGAGGAAGCTGCCTTTACAGGCAGTTCTGGAGACCTGTGTTAGATGCTTCAAGTGGGATGAAGTGGACATCTCTCGCCCAGGAATTCCCCATCAGAGCTCCACCACCCCCTGAATCTGATCACCAGTGCCATGGTCCAGTTCTCTTCTATTGCAAATTCTGCTTTGACTTAATTCTGCTCACTGCCACAAATTTCCACCATTTTTTCAGCCAGACTCCGGCATATGGATTCAGTGTCTTTTTAAAAAACTGAAGCAGCCCACTTTTTAGCTCTTTAGGGAGCATAAATTCTAGTCCTACTCTTTCCGACAGTCTTGCTGGTTTTCTTCATGATACAGTGTAATGAATATCAAAGATGCACAGACTGTCCTTCAAAGACCAACACAGGATTTTTTTTTCCCCTCTCTGATTTCTCTTTTATTGACATGTTAGGAGCCATTTGTGGTTGTCTCCAACTGAGAAAGATGCAGTGACATATCTGCAGTGTGGAAAGAGAAATTTAATAAAAAGCTTTATTAAGTCCAGGTTAAAAAAAAAAAAAAATCACCATTTTGTGTATTCTGAAGGGATGCTGATGGGAGGGCTGACGTGAGGAGATTGCTGTAGGACTTTCACTCACAGAATCACTAGACTGTGACCTAGACTGCCTGGAGGAAAAGGGTGTGCTGGGCAAGAAGAAATATTTTAAGTTGGGGATTAGTTGAGCTGTCGTCTTCATATCTGAGCTGAAAGTGCCACCCGTAGAAGCCACACTGACTGGCAATGCTGGTTATATTTTCTCTTCTATATGGAGAACAAAATTTACTTGCAGTGTACATCGTCTAAGACTTAATGGCAATAATTCTCTATTCAGTCTGTTTCTTTTCACAAAAAAAGCCAATGCCTGCAATTAAGCTAAATGAATGCAGTGTGAAAGCAGAAAATTTGTGTATGCAATCAGATGTGGGCACAACAAGCATACTAGCTAGATATTAAACATTATAACGTTGTACAGTAGCAGTATTTGGTCCAGATTTACAGACTTCCCATCAAACAAACATTTTATGTGTGTGCATGCATGGAAGATGATAAGATATATGTATGTGTATGTATGATGAAAGATTATGAAGGGGGTTACTATTGCTATAAATTATTGGGATCTGTGGCATGATGATGACGTTGTGGTAACTGTGAACAGTTAGGGAGCATTTGTGCACGAAGGTAGGTTAAAGCATGAGTTAATTAGTTCACTTCTGCCTGAAAGTGAGACATGGTGGGAAAGTACGGTATAGAGCAGTTGTCTGCTCTCTAATTGTTCTTATTTAAAAGATGAATCTGTTTTGCATCACTGGTTACACTGACGTGCTGCATACTGAACCAGCAGCAAAATCATGTCTAATTACCATAAAGCTAATAGGAAAAGGAAGGTGAAATCTCATGATTAGTTTGAGAGTTCTGTCAAGGGACAGTGCAATCATGTTTAATTTGACTGCCGTATGGTGTAGCTTTTCTTCACTGTTTAAAAATACCAGCCATGCAAGTTTATTTCTGAGGTTTGAGATGATAAATTCAGGCATTATGGTTGGCAGGACCATATGTATCTGAGAGCTGCGACGCTTCGGATGTGCCTGGCCTCCAAAGCTACCTGGCTGGCAAAAGATCCACGAGGGCTCTGAGCTGTTGTACTGATTCAGCTAGTGAAAGAGGCTTTTCATAACATCTATCTGGTTTTGGTGGGTTTTTTCCTTCTGGGGAGGTTTCTTGGCCATCATTTTCTCATTTGCTTTTGTCTGTATTAAAACTGACACTTATAAAGCGAAGCTACTTTTAAAGAAATCACTCTAGATTTAGCAAATTACAGGCTTTCAAGAAATTCTCTTTAACATTAAAAAAAAACCCCAACATGTCAATACTATCAGAAAACAGTAATATTTTAGAACTAGCATAAACTATTTAGGTATGTTTCCTGGAGCTATTAGAGTTATTGTGACAACAGTAAGCAGTAAATGAAGTCTTTGAACACCAAAGGTGGTATAAATGGCTTTTATATATACATATAATGTGTGTGTGTGTGTATGTGTGTGTGTGCATATTTATAGATATCGAATGAACAGCTGCTCACAGGAGGTAAAGTTATGGGAGCTGAACAAGTCACTGCTCATCAGTTGAGTCATGTTAAATCACCATATGTACAGACCTAGTCCACTCAACTTGAGACGTAAAACCACAACCATGAAGACAGCATAAAGGAAGGCAAAAGCACACAATATTCTAGGAGTTCAGCAAAGTACAGCTCAAATGATTATTGGGAACTCGTTAAGTTTGGCCACTGCATTACTTTTGCTTTTCTATGTTCCAGGTTATCAGGCTATATGAGAAGCATGTAATAGTCAGTGGTCCAGCTGCTTTGTTCTTGTGCGTCCCTCTTTAATAAATTCCTAAGACTCAATAATAGTAGCATATTAGACATGAGTAGATCTATTCTGCATCTTTTCTGTTTTGTCGTAGTGGGAGGAATTAGCTGGAATTTACGATATCTGGTTGGCTGCATAACAGCGAAGGATTCCTCAAATAATCCATACTCCCATTGCAAATATGTGCTGCTGTGCAATAGTCATTGCACAATGAATTTTAGATATTGTTTGCATTTAAATCACCTAGAAAAACAGATTCCAAGGTAATTCAGCGCTGATTTGTCTTAATAACTATGTACATTCTTTTTTTTACAGACAGTAAATGTATATGTGCAAGATGGAGGAACCGATTCCATACCTGTGAAAGTGCTGAACTGCGATACTATATCACAAGTAAAGGAAAAGATAATAGACCAAGTCTATCGAAATCTGCCGTGTTCTCAGTGGCCAAAAGCTGAGAGTGTAGTTCTTGGTAGGTAGCTACTTGTGACATTATATTGAGCAAGTGAAACATGTGAGATTTTGTATTTTCCCCAAAAATGTCTATAAAAGCAATCTATTGGTTTTAAAAAAAAAAAAAAAGTTGAATTCATGTTGAGATGGATGCAAAAATACAGCATTTGGCAGCAATCTTAATATGCATTAAAAATTAATGCTTTCTTACAGAGTTCTTTTTCCTGATTCTTAAAGTTTCGGTGTACTGTCATTAGTGTGCAAAGAGCCTGTTAATGACTGTTAGCACAAATGTATTCATGTCTGACAGAGTCAGTATCTCAGGTACTAATTAATGTGATAATGACAGCATGGACAATTAACTGATGGAGAAGTAATGATGCAATTTCAGAAACTGGTACTGATTTTGACTTGCTTTATGATGGTTATTCAAAAGAATTATAACTTATAGGAGCTGCACTTTTAGGAGATGATGAGCCACCCAGCCTCTGAAAATCATCCTCCTTGAAGGCTTTCAAAATTGCTGTTCTGTTCTTGAGAAAAAAAAAAAAAAGACGTTACTTAAAAAGCCTAATAAGCTCATAATAAAAGCTCCAATTAATAGTTTTGCAATATCTTCATTACTGCCTTAATGTGAAAGTAAAGGATGCAATTCTTCCTCTTCAGAAAATCCTAATAAATTACCTAAAATTGCCTTTTCTATTCCATACAAAGTCCTACTCCTCTATTTTGGACTGATAGCAGTTCTTATATATATTTGTAGTATTCTGTGAAAAGGAACTTAACTTTCTGTGGAAAATAATCAGAAGTCATGTGCATGGTTAGGAAGAGTTCATGCAAACTTCTGTAATAAAGGCCAAACTATTAAGCAATAAAAACCACACATCGTGGCATGTGCCAGATTACTTCTCTTAATGTTCCACAATGCGTCAGTAGGTCTCTAAACTGAAACATTCTTGGAGTAGTTATTTTTGCACATGGTTAAAAACTGTTTTTTCTCATTTTAATTACCCCTTAGAGTGGCGTCCAGGTTCTACTGCACAGATCCTCTCAGACTTGGATTTAACATCCCAAAAAGATGGCAGATGGAGACGTATCAACACACTAATGCATTATAATGTAAGGAGGTGTCTCAGAGCAGTTGTTTGCATCTGTTAACTGTTCTCTAGTAATAAATAAAATCTTTATTTGTTTTTAGAGAAAATTCTGTGCTACATAAAGAATCAAAAAAAACCCCTAGCTCTGGGTCTAGGCAGTAAAAGCTTGGGAGCATGAAAGGCTAGGCCTAGACATACTGCCTATACATCTTACCAAAAGCACATCACCTAAATGCCAGCACTTTGCTTTCCTCATGATTGCAGTGTCCAAAATCCAAATTCCCCTTTGAACATTCAAAAGCTCTTTTTGCTAGCCCTTGTATTCATCTCTTCTTTTCTCTGTCACTTCCTACCCCTGAGAATTATCTTTGTCCTTGCTCTACTGCTAAATAGATTTTGGGTTGGTCTGGTTTGTTCAACAGCCCAGTCAGGAGAGCAGATGTTGATGGTTTTGTACTGTCTGGTTTAGGTTTCTTACTGTGCACTCTACCAAGCACTTCCAATCCACTTATCTTCCCTTTGTATGCTATTTATTTCTTTCTAACAACAGATATCCTGATTAGGAAAGATAGAAGTTAGTTAGTTTTCCCTCGGAAAACAGACAGGTCCAATTCTTCATGATAAACCTCATTTTTCTACAAAGGGCACCCACACCAAATTGAGGAACCACTGAAGTCTTGGAAATGCTTTTAGCATTGTCAGTAATCTCATAGGAGGTGTTGATGGGATCTCTTATTAAAGGAGGGGGAGGGAGTCTGTTCTGAATTGCAGAGCCAGTTGCCCAAGAAGCCTTTGAAGAGCAGCATTAATCATGGGTCTAGATTCCCTGCAAAAGATTACAGAAACCGCAGTTTAGGTGTTAAGAAAGAGGTTCAGTAGTGCACACATCTTTCGAATAACATCCCTGTGTTTGTATTTTCAAAGGTCCGAGATGGTGCCACGCTCATCTTATCAAAAATGGGAATTTCCCAGCAGCCAGAGGATAATCAGCAAGATGTCCCAGGGGAAAGTAAGTATCTTGTGGCTTCACTACCTCCCAAAATGGCTAAAAGTCAAAACCTACACAGAGAGAGTGACACTGCTGTCTGGATCTTGTTTATCGAGCTTGTCTGTGGAGCTCGATATTCCCCACCAGACTATATAGGGCTTATTTGTTGTAGGTTGCTCACTGCACACTTGCAATGGTTTTCTTTGTCTTCATTATAAAAGCCTTAAATAATGAGGCTTTAACCATCATTGCTGTAAGTCCATACCCTGGCTTAATAGAAAGCACTCTTGGCAAACATTTTCTTGCATATTTTGTTTCTTAATCCCACTACATCCAAAGTCAAACCATACGTTTCCTCTTTCCAAAGCTTTAGGTCTTTTTCTCCTTCCTTCTTCCTTTTCTTACTTTCCTCTCTAAATTTCTTCCACTTCTTATTAGACTGAGAATGGAATGCAGCGTTCTAGATGAACCACAGTAGAGACCAGCTCCCCTCTCTGTGGCATAATGGATCTGATATAATTTTTTTAATTGGATTTCTTACAGCTATGTTGCCTGGCAAACTCATCTCTCTATGTTCATATTTTGTGTCTCCCTCCCTTTGAGTGATGTTTCACCAGCTATGCTAGCTTGGTTTTTCCAGGGATTGTTGGTTGCCTTTGTTCATTCCATATGCGTTATCTCTTTAGATGCAGTGTTTTCCACAATTTCTTTTTTCTTTTTGAGGTTTGCAGTCCACTGTAAGTTAGTGTCAGGAATTTCCATATGATGTTTCCTCTCTTTCACATCACTAAAGCAGCTGTTGCATAATTCTTATATTGCTGTCTGCTGCAGTATGCTGGACTTCTCAACACAAAAGACAACCTGTTAGCTTACAACCCATCTTTTAAAGCTTTTACTTCTACATGTTAGTATTCTGTCTAGACCAATTTCCTTTATCTCAAAACCTCTTGAGACACAACATCCATTACGGCCTACAATGCACTCAGATTTTTATGGAAATATTTACTTGTAAATTTATGTTCTTTGTCACACGTGTTTCCTTTACATTTCAGATGTTCAGTTTCTCTTTTTTTTTTATCCTTATGTTCAATTATTTTACATGAGGTAGAAGGTAGATTTATGGAACGATAATTGTTGAGATCATTCTTCCTTCTATGAACTCATTGATATGATTTTCTGTCTAGCACTGATTGCAAAAGCCATTGTTTCACCTAATAGTTTCATTCCTTTAAAAAGATTTACTGATCTTAGATTTAATAGGTTTTAAGGGCTGGGCAGTCAAACAGATTAGAAATAACATGCCAGAAATTTACATTTTTCAAGAAGATGGGTCTCAGCTGATAGCTCTGACATATATCGCTATTTAACAAAAATGTGCAGACTTTGTGTTGAGTATTGGCCAGGAAATTAGGACGGGCAGAAATACTTGCCATTTACTTTTTATTCTGTTCTCCTGGATGCTTTCTGTTGAGACTTCTTCCAGCATCCTTGAAGGGTCTTCTAATGGTCATGGCTACACCTCTGCTGCCATCCTCTCACCCCTTTACTGCAAGTGCCTGCCATCATTTGCCAAGTGGTGACTACTCTGTCACAGCAGGTGCCAACCCAGCATGTTAACTTAAAAAGCCATCCAGGTTAATATAGAGGGCAGTGAAGTGCAGCCAGGTGAGGAGCTGATTCCCAGCCCCTGTTCAGTGTGGTCGCACTGATTGCTGAGATAACTGCTGAGGCAGTAGTTGCCTCCACTCTAAAGAAGTGGAGTGGACCATGAACGTAGCCTGGTGGCGTCCTTAGCTTGCTTTGCTTTCTTAACACAAAGCAGTGTTCAGTCTCCCGTTCTGGGCTTCCAGTCTTCATCCTCCCCACCTCGCTACCCTTGTGTCAGGCAGTAGAGGACCAGACCATGTGGTTTTCTTTTTTTGTTGGGGTTTTCTTTTTTCTTTCCTCCTTCTCTATGATTATATCTTTAGCTGTGATTCAGTATGATGAAGCTCTTTGAACACACATGATCTGTACTCCAAGATGAACTCCTTAGTTATATGTGTGGCATACTAAATTGTAAAGGAAAAGCAGACTTCTGGGGACAGTGCTGTCACATGAGGGCTCTTGTATGCGAGAGAGAAATCTGCAGAGAGAATTCAGATCCCAAAGTACAGAGTGAGGACAACTTCCACCATGTTTCTTCTCCACACCCTGTCTTGCACCATGGTAGTGTACAAATTTGGGAAGACAGCGTTTCATGCCAGGCTAGGCCATTTTCTTTATTGCTGAAGGGTCCTCAGAGGTATCTGGTGCCAACTTGTTCTTTTGGAAAGCTATAAAAATGATACAAAGCTAGTGCAAAGCGAGAGCCTGCAGTGACAGTGATTTGTGAGATGCTATGTGTATAAAAGGGAGAGGAGAGGATCAGAGGCTTCCCCTCCCACACATACACATTTATATGACACAGGGATTTAGAGGGTTGGAATAAATAGAAATCCTATCCCGGTTCTATGAATGAGGCTTGTGACGAAGTGGTTTTCCTTCTATTCAGTCTCTCTCATTAACTTGCACCTTTTGCATTGAGAAGTGTCAGCTGAAGCCATTGACTGTCTGCCAAAGTACTAGGCTTTGCACAGAACAAAAATGTAAAACCATGTTCAGAGATGTTGCTCTAAAACCTGGCATTGCTTCCATGCTGCTTTTGATTCACAGCTTCTAACAGGAAGACACTAGAAGCTGGAGGTTGTGACAAATTAAAATGCAGCATCCTTTGCTTCTGGAAATAATAAATGCAATTACTAATTTGTATCAAGATGGAGAATGGTTTCAATGATTTCATGCCAGTATTTCTGTACTGAACTATAAGCCAAAACAACACGCTCTGTTATTCTGGGGGTTTTCTCTGGTTTTTTTTTCCTTTTTTAATTCTGAATAAAAATAGACAGAGGGTTGCCAATCAGAAATACTGATGAGCAGATCTGTGTAGGGCAGCCCTTCCTTCACCTCTATGGAGCAGTATATTCACAGGGCAGGAGGAGACTGGAAGGAAGCTAATTTGCTGCAGGCCACGTGAGGGGAAAGGGGCTGCGTTGCCTGTCACCATCTCGCCTCCATCGTGGTTCATACCACTATAATTAATCATCGCAGTCAATATTTGGCATTAACCCCCCCCAGCATTATTTTATATTGGCCAAAGGGCCAAGACAAAGAGTTTGTGGCACAGCATTTGACCCCGTGGGCACGGTCTTCTCCCCGCTTATGGCTTGACGCATAATGTGGCTACTGCAATAAAAAAGGAGGTGTTTTCCCCTATCTTTTATTTTCTTCACCTCCTACTTTTGCGTTGGGGAAAGTATTATCTCATAGAAATGTTACTTTCTCTTAGCAACCATACCGCTGACATATTTTGTTGCCCCATGTTCTGAATTTCTGTTCCTCTTTCTTCCTGCTATTTTTAGCAATGAAGTGGCATCTTTGTGTTGCAGAAATTCATCTGGTTGAGCTGTAGCCTCTTAATCCCTACTTCTCTAGGAAATAACTACTATTTCACTAGTAGCCAATTCTGTTGTCGCTAAACAAACACGGGCCAAATTAAGCTGCACATAAGGGCCAGTAATCTCAGTGGAAACTCCTTTGGTTGTTTCTCTTCTCTCCAAAGTTAAACTGGGCCATATACCATCAGGAGGGCAAAGAGAGGATAAATTCCTTTGAATCAAAAGAGGAAGCCGAAGTGTAGAAAGCGACTGACGTAAGGCTGGAAAATAGTTTCTGCTCTAACTGCGTGATTTGATCTATTAATTTACAAAAGTAAAGAACAGGCATTGCAAAAGAAATTCCAGACTTAAGGCCCAGCAGTGGTTCTTACTGTACTGGCAGACGATTGCTACGAATGGTATCGATTGCGAAATCGCAGCTGCTTCAAAATAAAATAAAGTGATAGCTTTTATTTCTTTCTTGCTTCATTCACATGAACTTCCAAGTCAAATTCAGGACTCTCAAAGGACAACGTGATTTAATGTGGGATTTATTGTTTTCCCTATCTGGTTAAAAAGAAATAAAGGCCCCAAAAGACTGCATAGCTAATGCTATTCATGAGGATATATAAAGTAAATTAAAGCAGAAGTGTTGGCTTGGCCAGATTACACATAAATGTTATTTTCCCCTGTGATGTAAAATATTGAACATACATGCAAGCTGGTAAGTTTAATGTACCTAGGAACTTAGTTAATAAACTACTATGGTCAAAAATTTGAAAGGACAAAATTCATGCAATTAGAAACTGATATTTTCTGCTGTAACTGGGATTCGGTTATGTTAGATATGTATATTAAAGCATAAAACATAGCCATAATGCAAAATAATTTGTGCAATAGGGTTGAATCACAAGTTTTATGGGAAAACTTTTTAAGATGTCAGTGGTTTTAAATGCACTGATTCAGTAACTTCCACTGGAAAAGAGCCATTGATTTTAGGGACCATGCCAAGTAGATATAAAAATTCAGAAACTAAAGGAAGAGCAAGCAAAACCAAGAGATTTGAATCTAAGTTTGTGACACAGAATCTTTTTTCAAGGGATATTAATTGCAAGTTAAAACAATTGTATCATCTCTTTTAGAACTGTTTGTAACAAAAGATTCTCAAGCATAGAGTTTGTCTGCACATTCATGTTGATGTTGAAATGCAAGACTCCCTTTATTCCACTGCGAGATCATTGAACTAAGCTCAGGGACCAGATGCATGACCAAGCCATGGCTAGCATAGCGGGGCCCTGTAATCAGATGAGCTGTCATGAGCATCCAGGTGCTTACTCCTGTTTCTGCTATATGGTAACAGACTTGATGCGAGTCTGTTTCTCTGGTTTAAGCTATGAATAGTGACAAACACATTTTAAAAAATCTTATTATAATTGATTATGAATTTGCTGCAGTCATTACCTCTGTCTGCTGGAGTTCACGTCCTCTCAGCAAAGGGATGCATTTTTCCTCCTTTCAGCTACAAAGTCAAGTGGTGCTGGTCAAATGCTGATAAAGGCAGGTTTGAACTGAGGTACCATACTTTGAACTCAGCAGTTAGGGTAAAATGTAACTTGCAATGGTGATACCTAGAAAAAAGGTTGAGATGATAAATTCTTAAATTGCCACTGCCAAATTCACCAGAGCTGCTACAACAATATCTGGAGTAGGCTACAGTTGCTCTTTCTGTGGTGGCTGTTGGGTCAGACCTAGCTGAGTTTCTGTAACTTGATCATGTCTCCGAGAATTCACAAAGGGGTAGAGTACTTCAGTGCGTGGACTTCAAAAAATGCACGTACTATGCTTACGTGACCAAACAGGAGTTTCCTTATTGCGTGATTCCTTCCTCTCCCTTTGCTCTTGACAAAAGCAAGCTTTTTCAGCTTATGTATTATTCAACATTTAGTACTTGAGTTGTATATGTTGGACAAGAACAGAGAAATCTAGATCCTCTTGGCAAGAGGACGGATATGTTAAGGATAGGGAACAAAGGTCTTACACATACTTATGTATATGATTGTTTTCGTGTTGCTGTTTTGGGTGTGGGGCATTTTTTGTAATTATTGCAATTACTGTTTCTAGGGCATGCACTCCTGGAAGATGAAAATAAGGTCTGGCATCTAGTCCGGCCAGTAGATGAAATAGATGAAGGTAAATCGAAGCGGGGCAGCGTGAAAGAAAAAGAGAGGACCAAAGCTATTACAGAAATCTACCTGACCAGACTTCTTTCTGTGAAGGTAGGGCTCAGATATGCCACAGTTACACGTTACTTCTCTAGCTTTTGAGGTACAACTAAAGAAAATGATGCAACTATTAGTCATGCATTTGGCTGCAATTTTGAATATGTGTCATGTACATACAAGCTGGTGTTCAGGGCTTCAAGTGATTAATATGCCCTAAGGAACATTACTGGAAAAGAGATAAGGTACAACTCCTGATCAAAGCTGAGAACCATGATTATGTGTTTGTTAAAGGATTTTTCTTGCAAGACAAAGATGGATATTCTCCTCTGTGCCACCTGTTTAGATAATATTTTATTGGGTTTTCTTTTGAACCAAATGCTTTATAAACTGCTACAGAGCCTTGTATTTCCCTGTTCTGGTGTGTGACCAATGCTGCAGTATAACCTAGAAAAATAAAAATGTTTTCAAATAATAATAGTCCTTTTAGAGTATTTTTAGTGCTTATACTACAGAATGGATCACAAGCAAAATAATTTTGCGAAGCATTCCTCCTTGCAGAAAGACTTGAGAGTAATGTGTTTAATGACCCTAAAGCCAGGCTCCTCGTGAAGATGGGAGTGGTCTGGCTCCAGCTCAGGCCATTTGTCCAAGTGTGAAAGTGGATGTAAAGGAAAGTCTGTGCATAGATGACATAGACTCAGGACAAAGAGCCAGCAAGATGCTTACATCCCTCTCTTCTGTTAATAACTCCTTTGCAGCCACTGCTTTTCTATTCCCAATAGCCAGTTTGTGGATCATTACCAGTCTGGATCTTTACCAGCTCATACAGAGCTCGTGAGATGTTATGGCTGGGACCATAGCTACCCCTACAATCCCAGGGCTGTCACTGTGTCCTTGCTGACAGCAGAGTGGCTTAGGGCTCCTTGCCTTCTCAGTCCGTGCCCTGTTCTGAGGCTGACAGCTGGAGTGACAGTGAGAGAGAGGATGCAGCCCTTCAAATGTGCCCATAGGGCCAACCAGCTGAACAGGGATGAACTGCATGTGGCCTCAATGGGGTCATCTCTAAAACAAGGGGACAGTCTCTGAGGTCACAGTCTCTAAAGTCCAGGCAGATGCAGGAATCCAACCACGCACACAGCCCTGCTGGGACACTTCACTCCTCGTGAGGCTCCAGTGGAGCTCGTGGAGCTGGGCCAGACTGGGTGTCTGATGAGACCAAAGTGCTTGCCCTTAAACAAAAAGTCAAATACTCACTGGTACTTTTTCCTCTCGGTCTCTTTCTAAAAATTGCATGGTGCTCTGGAGTCAGAGAAACTGGAGGTGGGAAGTTGCAAAACCGTTAAAAAAAAGGCTAACAATTATTTTATGTGCACAACGACCCTGAAGTGTAAATGTATTGTATACTTAGCAACCGGTTTCTGCTTCTTGGACAGGGCTGTGAGCAACCTGATCTAACTGAAAATGTCCCTGCTCATTGCAGGGGGGTTGGACTAGATGACCTTTAAAGGTCCCTTCCAACCCAAACAATTCTAGGATTCTGTTCTATTCTATCATTCTTTGGTTCCTCTGTCAAGCAGAAAGCACACCTTCCTGTGCAAACTGAAAAATAGTTGGTGAAGTCGCAACCTTTCAGGCTAGAACATAAAATTGTTCTCTAGAAGGTCTTTGCTGTGTGGCAGTTTGCAGGGTTACTGCACTAAGAAGTTGCTTGGGTTTTGTCACCTGGTACCCTTAGCCCTCAGGATGAAGGCCATCAGTGACTGCAACTGGATTATGGGCTGTTAGTGTCAATAGGAATAAAAGATTCTAGGATGGCACGAAGTTCAGCCTGTAACACAAATGTAATGGATTTTTTTAAATTTGCTTTTAGGGGACACTTCAGCAGTTTGTAGATGACTTCTTTCATAGCGTGCTGAACTCGAACCACGTGGTGCCACCAGCTGTGAAATACTTCTTTGACTTTCTTGATGAGCAAGCAGAAAAACATGACATCAAGGATGACGATACCATTCACATCTGGAAAACAAACAGGTACAGTATGAACAGAGTAATACTTGTATTGCAGAGAAATGAGAGTGTAATTCCCAGGTATCTACTGGCACTCTTACCACAAATCAAAGTAAATTTCATTTATAATTCTCAGAATCATTTTAATTGAGATAATATGTTTATATGATCAAAGGATTCCCTGTAAGCCTAGAAGCTGCAAAAATGAAACCAGCCTACCTAGGGGGTTGTTACTGGCAGATTGACCACTTTAGTTTTTGTCTTTCCTCAGAGAAGAGGAAAGCAAGAGGCAAATGGGACTAGATTTACCTGTCAAAGCACAAAATCTAGTAAAATACTACTCAGGTAGTTTCTCTAACCACACAGACATCTTCTCTTCCTATTTTGGGGCACTCGAGATTCTTCTCATATGAGTTTTTCTGTGAGAGATGTAAAGGCTTGGTTTTCAGACATGGAGACCAGACAACAGATAGCTTGTATAAATGGTGAAATATAAAATTAAGCTTCACTGTTGTGAGGAGATCAAAATGCAAACCCCATACTTAATTTCATGTGATTTGCTTGTTGTAGAACATCTATTGTATAAAAAGGATTATTTATCTTTTTCCTTGTTTTGCAGCCTGCCTCTTAGATTCTGGGTAAACATACTGAAAAATCCCCATTTCATCTTTGATGTTCACGTTCACGAAGTAGTGGATGCTTCCTTGTCAGTCATTGCACAGACTTTCATGGATGCTTGCACAAGAACAGAGCACAAATTAAGCAGAGTAAGTGATTTGCATTCTACATCCTGACTACACTCATGCCTGACAAGACAAAGGGCATCCTCATAGACAATACCCATTCTCTGAGGAGATACAGCCTTGATAGTTTCTTTTCAGTTTTATAATGAAGTTAGCATTTCACCACTTAACAGGTTGGTGAACATGTCAGTGTTACTGTGTAGTCTGCCAGTTGATATTTATAAAAAGGAGAAAATAGCAACTGCTTTTATAAAAAGCAAGTTTAAGAGCTGATTATTTCATGTCTACCAATAATTTAGTGTCATCTTGCATTGATATATTTGTAAAACTCAACACTAATGCCGTATGTAAACTTCATCCTTTTAGGACAAATAATCCCACCAATGTTAATATGCATCCAAGTGTTAGTATCTGTAAAGCTCATGTGCATGTGAATATAAAGGCTTGATCTTAAGTTCTAGACTTTCTTTTGCTTCCTAGAGATGTTCATAAATCAACCAAGTTTCTCTCTGTTATAAATTTTTCAGGATTCTCCGAGTAATAAATTACTTTACGCGAAAGAAATCTCTAACTATAAGAAAATGGTGGAAGAGTAAGTATAAACTCTTTTCATGCTTATTCGGAGTTGTTAGGGCTTTACGCCTGTGTAAGAGGAAAAGCGAATGCTGAGGTAGTCAAAGTCAGTCAAACATTAAAAATTTTACACCTGAATGTTAGAATATTCCCTTGGTGGTGACGTTGGCAGGGTTGAAACGGAGCTCTGTTATGACCCAGTGTGTGTTCGTGTCTGTGCAGAGAGATCAATAGATTTATTCAGGAGAAAATACCATGCCGTTTTCTGCAGTGGTTGTTGTGTTACGCATACGATCTGCCTAACCAACGCTGCACTTCCATAACTCAGTAGAGATCAAATCCTGAAAGTATTTTCACAAACACATTTTTTCTATTCCATCTCTGACTTTATTAATTTACTAATTGGCAATTCTGTGAATACCACGGAAGATCTGCCGGAGGACAAAACTCCTGCTAGCTGGTGACTTCAAAAGTTTGAAGACCAGCTGCAATTACAAATAGATTTCTTTCCTGTGGTATGGCCCTGTACAGTCAGGTACGATTTGCCTCTGTTGTGAAGGTACTAATGACTGTTGGAAGGCGGGATTACTAAAGGAATCATTAGCCTGTTGTGACAGAGCATCTCCTGCATTATTAGGAAGGATGTTTAAAATAATTGCGAAATTGAAAGGCACAATTGCCAGAAAACCACAATGTATTTCACCTAATGGAAAGTCTGTTTTCATCTGTTGCAGTTACTACAAAGGTATTCGTCAGATGGTGCCAGTTAGTGACCAGGACATGAATACCCATCTAGCAGAGATTTCTAGGGTAAGAATAAATTCCATTTTCTTGTCCTGAAATGGGAGCCAAGTATAGCACTGTTTGTCTTCTCTTTCTAACTCAACAAGTGGGTTTTTTGTGTGTGCAAGCATCAAATGAGTTATTCCATAAATCTCTGAAGTACTCCTGTTTAGTGTAGTCGTGCCTTTCAGCCCTTTGAAATGTTGATTATTGAATGGAACCCAGAATGGTTATCATCACTAATCTACCTGAGTGATGTAGGTGCCAGAGCAAACTGTTCAGATCTTTTCACATCCATTGTGGAAAAATTATAGCACTCTCAAATTGTGTTTTCTCGCCACAGCATACAGAAGATTTTTAGCATTGATCATACTGATAACAAGTAATGACTGAATTCAGCAAAAATTAGATTCCAGAAATGAAAGAGGAGGCACGTACGTTAAGTATAGCCTATTTTAGAGCCGTCTATATGAGGGCAATACTTCTGCTTTAACGCGCATGTGAGAAGCTCACCATGTGCTCGCTCAGCGGCGCTTTTTCTTTTGGCATTATAGGTTATTGGGGGTTACCTCTCCTGGAGAAGAGCAGAGCGGGGTGGTTGCTAGCTGGGGGCTCTGGTTGGAGACTGGTGGAGCAAAGACTACAAAACCTGCTTCAGTCTTGAAAGAGCCTGTCTGCTCTGCAGCTGAGCTTGGCCAGAGCAGGCTTGTGCCTTCGAAGCACTCAATTTAACTTGGAGAACCAGGAGAGGCCCTCACCAGTCTTAAAAGATGTTGTTTAGCCTGAGCAAAGAGACAGTGTACTTACTGGCTGGTTTGCTCATTTGCTTAATTTAGTTGAAGAGTTCTAGCGTAAGGAGGATGTTTGGGGAATTTTTTGTGTTTTGTTTATTTCAGTGCCCTTAGGACCTAGCATTTTGCCAATCAACATCCTCATGAGAGCATTTCTATTTTCAGTCATTCACTACAAAACTCATCTGCGGTAACATTTCATTTTCCAGTTCACTTTATTTATTACACAAATTGAGATGTATATAAAATTAAAATGTTTGGTGATTAAAAGTAAATTCAATAGAGTGTTTTAACATCAGCAGAATATGTTGATCCTCTCTATTTACATTACAAATTATGATAAAAATTATTATGGAAGGAGTGATCAAACATTGCAAATCTTGACCAGCTCTAGAAGTCATTTTTATAGAGCAAGGAAAGATGGATGTTTCTCTGCTGCTTTATGCCTTGGGTAATCATTTATGCCAGTAGCAATATTTTGCAGTTCTTCATTTTCTTAACTAACTTAAAAGACTAAAGGCATAGCCAGAGACTTGAATCCTGTATGTTTGAGTGAAAACCATCTGTTTAGACAGGTAGAGCACATTCACTAGAGAAGTTAAATGTCGGGGGGAGGGAGGAAGAGGCAATGGAAGGGTTATTTCCTGCTTCATTTAAAGTCCTTTTTCTCTGTCTCTCTCTCTCCGACCCCCCCTTTCCATCTTCGTAATTCAAATGGCTTTTTTCAAATGTACATGTGCTTGATGAGTTTCACCTTTGCTGTAGGGAGGTGTGAATAATTTCAAAGAGTTAAAAAGAGCTGGAGAAAGGATTTCAAACAGCCATGACAGTGACAGAACCAGTGCTTAATATCTCAACAATACCTAGATTGTACTGAGTAAATGCTTTAGTTATACGTACCCATGTTTTTAACAGATGTTTGAGCTGCAGTCTGTGGTTTGACAGAGTTCAAAATATTTTCCACCTCCCGTGTTAGAGTTGTGGGCAGGCTGGAAAAACACCAGCAGGAAAGTCTTCCATCTAAAAATCACCAAACAAAAGTTTTCTCACCCCTTTTTTCTGCCCCAACTGCCATTTACCAAAAGTTACAGGACGCAGAGCTTGCATTTGGAAATCTTGTATGCTGTATCCAACAGCTGTGCACGTGTATAACTTTCAGCTGTCTGTGATCATATTGTGACACATTTGCTGCCCGCTTGTGTTGTTTAACAGGCACACACCGACTCCTTAAATACGCTTGTGGCTCTACACCAACTCTACCAGTATACTAACAAATACTATGATGAGGTAAGTTGCAGCTTTTGTTTTCATTTTTTAATATCAATGGTAAAAAGTTACGAAGGCTAACATCAGTCTAAAGGAACAACTTCTGGAATTCCCTGGATAATCAGGTGAAAGCAATGCTGAACAGAAAGGCAATTACACTGGTCAAGGGTCTGGTCTTATAAATGAACAATTTCATTATGGGCCATCTGGTTTTGGTAGTGATAGTTTAACAAGATCTGAAAGAGAAACAGATTTCAAAATCATTTCTCTTCAGTTCTACCATCCTAATTCCTAAGAATTAAGATGTAAGAATGGCACCAAACAAAAAGTAGTCGTCAGAGCTATATCACATTTCAAGCCAGTGTTTTTTTTATTAGGAACAATCCATTAAACTTGTTTTGCTTGTAAGAATTCGGCCATGCCTTTTTTATTAGTTAAGATGCACTTAAAACTTCCATGCATGCTACCGTCCCTCTTTTGGTGTGCCAAATGAAGTGCCTGCCCAAGGTAAACCGAAGTAGAGTAACTGTTGAATATAGCCTGATTCAAAAGGAAGCTCATAGATTCAGTCCAAAACGTTTCTTAGGTTTTTCACACCCTGTGGAAAGGGGGACAAAGAATATCCCAGTGTAGCTGGGCTGTGGCTATGGCTCTCCAAACTTAATCTGAAAACAAAAAGAGAGAAGGAAACTTTTATTCAAAGGTTTCCATGGAAATGAATGCCTCCAGAAAACTCTCAGAATTAAATCAAACCAAGTAAGAACAGATGCTGAATCAAAAAGGAGTACAGCACATGTGAGCTCTCTTCAGTTTGTCTTGCACCTCAGCACAGTTCATGTTTTCACTTATATTCCGCACTAAAGGCAGTGAGTCTCATCCTCAGCTTCACTGCAGCTGCTTTATACAGGAGCAGCCAGCCTGTCGCAGCTTTTAAACAGATGTAAGCAGGGAAAATCAAATCAGCCTGAGAAGTCCTGCCACGAGGGTCGGTACGAGAAGCGGCCAGAGGAACGCAGGCCAACCCGACGGCGTTGGTTTCCTTGCCCTCATCCCCAGCGCTAACGAAGCTGGCTTCCAACACCTTCCCGAATGTATCCGTGGCCTGACCGCTTACAGAAACACTCGGGGACCCTGGGTGACAGATGAACTGTAAAGCGCTGATTCTTCCACGCCCCCGTGTCCCTGCTTCCACTCGTGGTTTCACGTTTGGTGGCAGGCGCAGGGGGAGTCCCACCAGTGGGGACTGTGGGACTCCCACCAGTGGGAGGCCAGCAAACCCCGGCGCGTAGCTGCAGCTCTTCCTTTCATGCGCATCACTGTATAACAACAAGGTGCATCTGATGAAAAGGCTGCTAATTCAGAGTTATGGAGATAATCTGTCAAGAACCATTCAGTAAAATTAATCAAGCTTATTTATTTTCCATGAAAATGTTTTAATTTGCATAAATTGGAACATTTTGCAGCTGCCCTTGTCTTTATTACTGACGCAGTGGTTCCCAGCATGCGCTGTACCTTCTGCATCTCTGCAGGGCTTGACAATGACTAAGTGGGTACATTCTAATTGTCCACATTTAGATGAAGGATATATTCACCAGCAGAGATAATCATGAATTATTTACTCTAGATTTGAGGAGTTACAGCTAGATGTAATTGTTTAAATTAGGGGAACAATATCAAGTTAAATTAGGCCCAATTTAAATACTGTAATAAGTGTTTATTAACTCTGTCTTGTAAAAATGTTTTCACACTTTAAAAACAAATCCATTAAAATAATTATTTCTAAACAAATTTGCCCCAGTGTTTGAAGGGCTGGTATAGCATTTGAGTTTCAAAGTGAAATTATTGGCTAGCTTGATACTGACTGCATCAATCTCCACTGTCAATGATCTGCAAGAAGTAGTAAGAACCACAGGTAGTGACAGGCAAACTCCATTTCTCCAGTTCTTGTACTTGCAAGTTTATACAGTATTTAAACAGAGCTAAAGGTTTCTGCTTGATTACAGTGTCTGACTTTTATTAATAAAGCCAGTTCTAGAAAAGGAACGGTTTCGCCGTGTAACACATTCTCCTAATGGAGAAATCTAATAGTTGGTGGAAAAGTTTCCCTGAAGGACGGTGGAAATGAAAACCTTTTGAAACCTTTGAAATTTGATCTTGAGGAGCCCTAAAAAACTCTATTTGAAGAAAAGCCTTCTCATAACAGTTGACCTTTTCTAGCTCTTGTTTTCAAATCTCTTGTGCCTTAGAGTCATACCTCCCTATAGAGGTATTCCGTCCAGCAGAGGCTGCATGCGGGATGCTGGGGGGCTCCTCTGACGAGCTCTTTGCTTCCTGAGCTACGTGGTGCTGGGCCAGAGTCTCGGCATTTCTTGGCGAGAGCCAAAGAGGAGCTGCCGCCAGCTCCCTGACCCTGTGGCTGGGCCGTTTTCTTCATCACATTGCCTATAGACGCAAGAGACCTTGCGTTGCCCTACCTAATGCCTGTGCGTGGACCACCCAGGAGCTTCCCATAACCAAAGCTCATGGGGATGGGCCTTAACTAGTGCTGGTAATTGACCCTTAAGCCTTGTAGGGTGCACTGTAAGTAAAAGCGCTGTTTCTTAAATAGCTATAAAGACGTTTTTTCCCCCTGTCTGCTCCATCTTGGAATGTAGTATTTCACAAGATAAAGTGCTACCTATTAATTTGCTTGGATCCCAGCATAATGGGAAACATTACAGCAACTCAGATAAAGTAACGGAGACGATAATTTTTATTGCCTTTGTGCAAAAGTAGAACACGGGGCCTACGTATCTTTGGTACAGAGTGAATGCAAAAGACTCTTTACAACCAAAGTAGTATCAGACACTTGGTCCGGGAACTATGTAGTATATTTTAAGCTAAACGATTCTAAACGTTCTGTGTTTGTTTCTTCCAGATTATAAATGCACTTGAAGAGGATCCAGCTGCACAAAAAATGCAGCTTGCCTTCCGTTTACAGCAAATAGCAGCTGCGTTAGAGAATAAAGTGACTGACCTTTGACTCAAAAGCCGCAATAAAGAAATCTGATCTGAAGATGTTCAAATTCATTCTTCCTGTTAAGGAAATAGTGTTCTATTTTTTAATGTATAATTACAACTTTAAATGAAAGATTTCATGGTTTTTTGATAGCAGAGGTGTAATGTAAAAAATTTTTACTGTAAATTATGCTTCTAATTAAAAGCTGTGTTGTGTGTAAATGAATCTTCTGTGGGAAAGAGAGTCCTTTGGTTGGGGGCAGGGTGGGGGGTGGAAGAAGGAAAACCTGTAGTTCGTTTAATTTAGTAGAATCTGAGACATCAGCAATTAGGATTCATTATGCAAGTAAATTCAGTACTACAGCATCCTTTCTACGTTAAGCAATATTTGTACTAGGAAAACAGTAACAGAGACACATGCAATATCCCCTTTTATTTTGATAACTGGAAATTTACTTCCATATAGCTCTAAAACTTACGTCTCTGCTCATAATGAACATCGTGAACAACGTGTCTGGTTCCTCTGCGAGATCTGAGAGTGGGAATTGCTACCACACACGGTTCTTAATTTAATTATTTATGTCCATGGTGATGCACAGTATTGCACCCACCACAGTTGGCCGCGACAGAAATAAGAGTGATGTGAACGTAGGAGAGTTCTACTGATAATGTCTCATTCAGCCAGAAATCACTGCAAAGAAGGAATTAGTCCTTAAAACTTTACAACTCTTTGTTATTATTGTGAGTTTTATGATATATGCTAATGTGCCTTACTTGTACTAATTCTGTGAATCTGATGAATGGTTTTGTAAAAAGAAGCAGATCAGAAAAAGAAATATTTATGTGCTATTGAATTACTTTTGTGTGAAAAACATGACCAGCAGAATGCTTGTAATTAGCTGCTTGCCGAGAGTGTGCTGTTTAACATGGTTTGATTATGTATAATATCCTATTTTAGAATGGTTCTGATGATTTTTTATTCGAATCTTGGAACTGTCCTAGAAATACCATCACTTGTTTTTATTGTATTTGTGATGTAAAATACTAGTATGATATTGGGAAAACTCATATACCCGTCTATTGATAACCACTCAGTTTTGAGCCTTGGAATGCTGCATTTGATTGAATACACACCATAACCCATAGCAAAGACAATTGAAATAACTTGTCAGAAAGTGTGTGTTTACAATATAGGTAAGCTCCGTACAAATCGAAAAGTTAGGTACGTCTTCTTAAATTGCTGTATTGCACATCAGAGAACTTTATTCCTCTTTGTCTCGCAAGTTTTTGGCAGTAAAGTAGCATTTTAATGAAGCGCTGCCATCTGTACTCCTTCCTTCGTTGTCCTGCCAAGTGCCCGGACTCTGCTGATCCTCAGCACGCTAACGCGGTGTCTGCTGCCCGCTCTCCCTGCCCAGTAGGTTGTCGTACAGTGACTTTTACTGTTTGTTGATATTTTTTTCCCCCCTTTTTGAAAATTTCCTCGTATTTGTCAGTGGGCCTTTCCTTCAGTTTCCAAAAATCAAAAGCCTCGCCAGAACTGGTTTCCTGCCCAGTAGGTTGGGAGGGGGGTTTTTGGTTTGTTTTGTATTCGACTTCTTGCGTGTGTGTATAATCATTCCTGAACCTGCCTGGGCTGTAAGTTATTTTACACTGTGTAGGACTGAGGTACATGACTTCTACATAAAGGTGCTTTGCCAGCTACTCCTTCATCAAGAAAGGCATCCTAATTTCATGGCTAATCTGTTTCTTTGTCATTATTTGTAAATCCTGTTAATTGTAAATCAAATACAATGTTGTTTTTTTCCACCAAGTGTCACGGGATCTTTACTGAATTGGGGGGTGGGTGCTGGAAGGGGTTTGTAATGCTTCCTCCAGGGGTGACAGAGCAGCAGCGCCCGTCAGTCTGCGGTTGGTGATGGAGGAGCACAGCACATCCCGCAGATGGTATGCCTGACATCAGGCCCTTTTTATGGGCATGTGCTCTGAAAAATGAGCGTACTCCTGAGAAGAGAGGATGTAGCGCAACAGCCCCTAGCGAGGCCTTCTTGCCTGATGAAAATCCGTCTTGGGACCTGAAAGCCAATTAAAATACAGGCTCAGCGGCATCTCTCCAGACAGATCAGAAAGCCCTGCTTGAGCAAGCAGGGCTTTCAGAAGGAACATTACATGTCCCCCACCATCAGTGACTTGATGCAGTGCAGCTGCAGGCGTGTGCGAGTTCGTGAAGGATCCATTGGTCTCTCTTTGGTGCCCTTTTTTACATCCCGGGAAATTTGCAGGCTTTCGGTGCTGCAGTGCCGTCTGCCAGGAACACGGCGGCAGATAACTGTGAGCAGCTGCAGCTACAAAGGAGACTTAATGCCAGTTCTTCAGTTTCTCTAAGTCTCCTCTCCTGAAAGCACAGAGTTGCAATTTGAATTGAAGAACTGAGCTGGTTTATTTTATTTTTTCCCCTTTTGGCTAAGCTCCTCCTGTGCTTGTTTTTCCACTCTGGTGCTCTGTTTTGTCCAGGCCTAGTTTTTGGCTTCAGTTTTCCCTACGTTTTAGCAATCTCATTCTTAAAGGCTTCATGCTCCTCCTTTGGTTTCTGCTGCTCCTGCCATCTGGTTCATCTGCAAGATAAAAGAAAAAAGCTCACTGGGGGTCTCCTTCCTTTTCATCCCCTCTGCAGCCCCTCTAAGGGGCACCTCTTTGAGCACAAGAACCTTCTCTCTGCATAATAGGAGCTACTCTACTCCACAGCGGCAGCTGTGAACAAAACTCCCTTCCTTGGACACCTCCGAGCCATAGCCCAGAGGTGGGTGCAGGCTGTCGACCACCACCAGCAGGTCTGAATCCCATTGCTGATTTCAGCCTCTCCAAAGGGTTTCCTTGTCTCCTCACCAGCAAACAAGCAAGTAGAGCTCTCAGATGATGGGACAAGGCCCCTGCCCCTGCCTGCCTAATACGGAGTAAGTCGCCCAGCTGAACAGGAATTTGGGTATTTGTCTCTGGCTAGGAATCTACTCTCTATTCCTTAGTGCCAAGTTTCCCTCTGACACTTAGTAGATGTTTTTGCCGCTCTCTATGCTATAGATTTATAAGCAAGTGGTTATGGGTGGAGGGGACCTCGGCTAGCTTGCATGTGTGAGGCATAGTGCTTCCTCAAGATGGTTTCTCTGATCAGTCAGTTACAGCTGTACTTGAGCCTCCCCCTTCTGCAGGCTGCTGTGTTGGACACGTGTTTCTCAGCCTGCTCAGTCTGAGCCGTGTTTACACGCGCATTCTAAAGCTGGCCTTTCTGGCAACCTTCTGAAGACCGTCACTATAAACAAAAATGTACACGGAATTCAGAAACTCAAACTGGAATTCATAAATTCACAATTTCCCAAACTGTCGTAACATGGGAGGATTTTTAGCCAGCTGCATAAAGACTTGAAATGGCTCTGAGCTTGAAATTCAGCTACCCTGGACTTACCAGCACTGACGAGATTTCGTGGCCAGTCCTTTACTGTTCCAGGTTCTCAAGCCTTGTTAGTAACGCAACCATTTTCAACCATAGCGTGCCCTGGTAGTATGGGCATGGCATAAAAAAAAAAAAAAAAAAAAAAAAAAATCTCTGCCTGTGACCAGGAAACCCCTCTTTCATATGCTTCCTGGGGCTGCAACACCTCGATTTACCCTGATAAATTACAGTTCTAGTCAGGTTCCCCATTTGCACCTAAGCACACAGTGTAACCATTCTCTGAGGACTTCCCCTCTAAAGAATTTGATCTTGAGCAAAGATTGCCTTCTTTTAAGACTTCTTCCAAGTCTGTTGTCTTCTCTTAGAAAAAGCTTATGGGGGAATTTTTGGGTTTTTTTTTTTCTTTCTCTGTCTAGAGGTAACCTGTCAGAGCAACGAGACAGTCACTTTCAGAAGTTTATAGGAAGATGCCTGGCTGCCATTTTTCTACCAACCGCTGGCTCGAGTCCTGTGCTATTCTGCTTTACATTCAGAGGGGTTGAAATTTGGCACTTCGAGTCACTAGAGTTGTTGCACTGGAAGTCTCAGCACCGTGGTCCTTGTGACTTGCTTTCATCCCTCATTCCCAGCTCAATGCAGTCAAGCTCGGTGCCTGAATCTTTCCAGGCTCTGCGTTACACAAGCTCCTCTCTTCTTAGAGGTCTGCTTTGCTAGATCTGCCTGGAGCATGGGATTCCCTGGAGAATGAACGGCAGCAGCACACAAGCTAAAATGATCGGTAATTCTGTTTTCTCAGGCTCTGTGCTTACCTAGTCAGTGTTTCTGTCTTTTTTATTTCGAGAAACCCTCCTTCAGTTGATGAATGATGAATTTGAAAGGTGGAATCATAAACTAGAGTTGGTCTTTCAGCCTTCCTCTTTTGTTAGCCTTTGTCTTGATGGGGCCTAAAAATGACGGTGGAAGTCTTGATGTTCGACGATCCCCGCAGAAGAGAAGGAAAAGAGACTTTCCAGACCTGCAGTTATCAGGAAGTTTTTAAGGGTTTTGTTTTCTTCAAACCGTGTCCCCTTCTGGCCCAGTGGCAAGGAGCATTTCTCCATCCATTAGAGAAGAAAGGGGCTTCTCCTGTGCAGGCTTGTAATAACCATCCGTGCTCTGTAAGATCCCTGCCGTCCCACCAGCCATTCAGGGCTGACTTTTGTCTTGCCGGTGCATACTGCTTGCTGCTGTGTGTCGTTCCCAAAGAGGACAAATCCTACTATCATTCATAGCCAGGCAATCAAAAGCTATTTCATTTACCCATGTATTCCTGCTTTTTTGCTGCTTTTCAGATAATTGCCATTCGAACCAGAAGAGTTTTGAGTGCTTTCCTTCTTTTTTTAAGCTTTTAAAGCACCTATGTGTCTTAACAGATTGAACACTTCAGAAAGAAACTATTTCTTCAGTGGGACAGAGGACAATAGCTCTCGTACAGCTGTATGTGGCTTATCTTAAAAGGAAATAAAAACCCCACCATGAACCACACACTGTGTTTTTGAAATCCTTTATTCAGTGCTCTAATTCTGAACAATGTTTTTGGCTTATTTAATTCTCCTCAAAACTGAATGTTGAACAAAACTCTCTTTTTTTCTTTTAATCTACTGTAATAAGAAAGGAGTGAAATGAAAAATGGATTCCTTTGATACCCTTAATCTTTCCTCTCCTGTGGCTATGCTCCTATTCAGTAAGAGATCATACTTGCTAGTTGCAGAGCCTGGATGCCAATCC